TGGAATGTTCTGTAGATATCTGCCAAGTCCAATTGGTCTAGAGTATTGTTTAGATCTTGTGTTTTTCTGCTGATTCTTTGCCTGGACATTCTGTCTAGTGTTGACAGTGGGGTGTTCAGGTCCCCTGCTATTATGGTTTTAGTGTCTATTTCCTTCTTTAGGTCTAATAGAGTTTGTTTTATAAATCTGACTTCTCCAACATTGGGTGTGCACATATTTATGATTGTTATGTCTTCTTGATGGATCAGTCCTTTTATCATTATGTAGTGTCCCTCATTGTCTCTTTTTATGGTTTTTAGTTTAAAGTCTACTTTGTCAGATATAAGAATAGCTACTCCAGCTCGTTTTTCTTTTCTGTTTGCATGGAAGATCTTTTTCCTTCCTTTCACTCTTAGTCTATGTGTGTCTTTATGGCTGAGGTGGGTCTCTTGAAGGCAGCAAATAGTTGGGTCTTCCTTTTTAATCCAGTCAGCCAGTCTGTGTCTTTTTATTGGGGAATTTATGCCTTTTACATTAAGAGTTGTTATCGAAAAGTGTTGATTTATTCCTAGCATTTTATTGACTACTGTTTCGTTGTCTTAGATGTATTTTGTTCCTTGCTTTCGGATTTAATGTTTGTTTTCTGTGTTTGTTGGTTCCTTAGGATGTAGATAGCCTTTTTGTTTGTTTGTATTCTCTTCATGTATGCCATTTTTATTATACTAGTGGTTTTAGATTTTTCTTGGGTTTTTATGGGAGTGGTGGTTATTTTTCAGGAACCAAACCCAGTACTCCCTTGAGAATTTCTTGTAAGGGTGGTTGTGTGGTGGTGAACTCCCGCAGTTTTTGTTTGTCTGAGAAATATACTATTTGCCCTTCATTTTGGAAGGATAACCTTCCAGGGTAGAGTATTCTTTGTTGACAATCTCTGGCTTTTAGTATTTTGAATATATTCTCCCATTCCTTTCTGGCTTTTAGGGTTGGTGATGAAAAGTCTGATGTTAGCCTGACTGGGGATCTCTTATAGGTGATTTGATGCTTCTCTCTTGCAGCTCTCAAGATTCTCTCTTTGTCTTTGAGTCTTGCCAATTTGACTATAACATGTCTTGGAGAAAACCTTTTTGGGCTGAATACGTTTGGAGATCATTGAGCTCCCTGGATCTGAAGATTTTTTATTTTTCCTATACCTGGGAAGTTTTCCTACAGTATTTTGTTGAATATATTTTCAATGCAATCTCCTTTTTCCTCCCCTTCTGGGATACCCATGACTCAGATATTTGAGTGCTTTAGGTTGTCTGATATCTCTCACATTTTCTTCAATGCCTTTGATTCTTTTTTTTTTCTTTCTTTCTTTCTTTCTTTCTTTCTTTCTTTTTTTTTTTTTTTTGTCTGCTTGTGTTATTTCTAACAGCCCATCTTCAAGTTCAGAGGTTCTCTCTTCAACTTCAACAAGCCTGCTGGTTAAACTCTCCATTGTGTTTTTTATTTCACTGAATAGCTTCTTCAATTTGGGAAGTTCTGCTACATTTTTTTTTCAGGGCATTGATTTCCATGTATATTTCCTCTTTCAGGTCCTGTATACTTTTCCTCGTTTCATCATGATGTCTAGCTGAGTTTTCTTGTATCTCATTCAGTTTCCTTAGAATTATCACACGAAATTCCTTGTCAGTCATTTCAAGGGCTTCTCATTCTATAGGATCTAGAGCTTGAGATTTATTATCTTTGGGTGGTGTACTTTCTTGATTTTTCATGTTTCTGGTGTCTTTTCTTTGATGTTTATTCATTGTGGCAGGGGGTTTCACAGTCCACAGGTTTGACACTATTGCCTGACTAAGATTTTGTTGGGGTTGCCAATTTGGTATGGCTACCTCAGTGACTACTCAGTTGGACACTAGTGTCAGGCAAGTCCAAAATTGGCTACCGGGAGGATGGCGGGGCATGCACGCCATTCCCTCCGGTGAGTCTCAGCTCCCACATTGGGCTCCCGCGTTGCGCTCCCATGTTGAGTTCCTGTGGCAGCCTCCAAAGCCAGACCGCCCCCGCCTCCTCTCGCTGCTCCTGGCGCTCCTGGCTCCTGTTCACACTGCAGCCTTCTCAGTCTCTCTTCGGCTCATGGTTCCAGCGGTGCCCAGGGCCAGGAAGGCGACAGCCCCCTCCCCAGCAGATACTGCAGCCACCAGACCCCGAGTCCCGGTGGCGGGGCTGTGCAGCCTGGCCCGGGGCAGAGGGCAGCAGCTGCAAGGTCGGGCGCCAAGTGGCGGCCACTCCCGGTGGCTTCTTCCTGGGGAGGAATTTGTAAATTTCACAAAATGGTGCACACTTCAAACCTCACTGCAGGTATTATGAGAGTCCCCTTCAAGGTCTCAGCAATCCTTCAGAGCAATCCACCTGGGTGGTAACAGTAACCCCTGGTGCAAGCAAGGACACCAGAGATTCTGACTCACCATCAGGCTTTCTGAGTTCCTCTTCTTGCTGGTGGCCTCTGGGATCCTGCTGGCGCAGGGCGCGGGCTGTTCACTCCCTTCCTGAATACATGTTTCCTCTTATGTAAAGGAAATTTCTAATTGTAGTTCTCCTTGTGACAACACAGGTCACATCCTGTGAAGCTGGCCCCTTCACAGGCTCTGGACACCCCAGATGGGGCCCCATCACAGCCCTGCTCTCTATTATTTTGAACTCTATAGTTCCATGATGTTCACTGAGTACCCACCTTCGCTGCCACGAAGAACATCCACTAACTCGGGGACCATGTCTATCTGGGTTTCTATGGAATTCCCAGAACACAGCACAGTGCATGACATGAAAAAGATGCTCAATTAACACTCGTTAAATGCATGGTGTCTGGACGGGAAACCTATGTCCTTCCTCTTCTCACAAAGATGCCTGACCGGGCACAAACTGTGCATCCTCCATCCCAGCTTGAGTGATGACCAAGACAGGACTGAGCTCCACCCTGACCACAAAGAAAGTCATGGGGAGACTCCTGACCTCCAAGGGTCCCAGGTGTGTGGGGACACCTGGCTAGGGCCCCTGCAGATCCTCTACAAGCCAAGGAGTCCTTGGGCAATGAGGGGAACTTCCCATGCAGGACAGGACAGGATAACCCAGGATCTGCTTATACAGCAGGGTGGAGGGCCCACATGCCTCCTCTCCCTTCACAGAGGAACCCACAGATCCCCTTCTGAGTCTCCAGATGGGAGCTGCTCCAGTTCCTGGGACCTGTGGGGAAGTCTAGGGCAGACAACAGACAGAGACACAGATGACTTTGATGGCTCACCCCCAGTGCTGTGACGGAGGGAAACACTGGGCGTTCAGGAGACCAGCAATCCAGGCAGGATCCTCTCACTAAAGCCTCAAGACTCCTCCCCAGGCCCTTCCCCTAATACCCCGGGGACAAATGGCTCCTTCCAAGGCAGCACATTCCTCTGATGGACAATCCTCACAGACATGAACCCAGAGTCCTCCACAACTCCAATACTCTCTCTCAGCTCACCCTGCAGGGCAATGGAGTCGGCAACATAGGGACCCACAGTGAGCATGGCCCTGGCGGGGATGACCCTGCATCCAGGAGGTTAGAGCCCATAGTGATGGGGTCTGCCCAGGAGTCATGGCCACTCACACTATTTGGAGCGTAGACAGCACCCCTGGTGCAGCCTCTGACAATGGCTGCAGGTTTCCTCATACCCTCCAGGGGGCAATATCAGGATGCACAGACAAACACTCAGGATATTAATTCATCTTTAGCCTAGCTTTGGCTAAAGAGGTAAAGGTGGTGCTTGATTTCTATCCCTTGCTCCAACAAGGCCTTCAGGGTCAATCCTTCGCACCTGCTCTGTCCCATCTGCTTCTTCTAAGGATCTCTAAGAACTCTGCTCTGCCAGTGGTCCCTTGCAGCTCCCATTCCCTCCTGGATCTTTCTGGGGAAAGGTGAGATGACCACGGAGAGTCAGCCTAGCAGAGGACAGAGGCCACCCAGAACAGTCAGGGAGATCATGGATGGGTCCTGAGTCACAGCTCAACCTACAGACATATGGAAGGAGGGCCTCCATGAAAACTTCCCCTAGGGCAATGGAGCACCTGACCTCTGTTCCCACAGTCCTCTCTTTCCAGGACATGCACAACCCCTACCCCTTTACACCCAGAACATGAAGCTCCTTCTGAAACACGCAGGTCTGCATCTCTGTCCTTGGATCCGAGGCCAAGGTGGTGACACTGAGATAGAGGGCAAGTCCTCTCACCAATCATCACTCACCTGCCCCTTTCTAGCCCCCAGAGCCAACTCTGTCACCTCCTGCTGGGAGTGCCCTTCCCACCACATTGGAGAATGTTGTGAAGAACCAGGTGATTAGCTGATTTCTGTGTCACATAGGGAAATGCAGACCTGGATTTAGGGACACAGGGCCTCTCAGTGTGGTACTGACAGACCCAAGAACAGGACACAGCAAAGGTCAGTGCTGGGGCTTGTGGGTCATCCTCTTGGTGGACAGGAATCCCTATCATCCTTGTTTCTAAAAGTGTGGCCTGGGGAACTGAAACAGACAGGGGGAAAGGAGGAAATGGACAAAGAAGGCAGGACTGAGAAGGTAAGAGAGAAAGGCCTCCTGGCAGAGACCCCGCCCCTGCCCATGTGACCCTGGGAAGTGCTCCTCCCCCCCGGGAGGCTCAGTGCAGAGGGAGGAAGGACAGCAGAGGTGACACATCTCAGCAGCAGTGCTTCAGAGCATTACTGGAGCAGAAGCTCTTCTCCACAGACGGAGGACAGAGCAGGCAGCAGAGACCATGGAGCTCCCCTCAGCCTCTCCCTGCAAAGGGCACATCCCATGGCAGGGGCTCCTGCTCACAGGTGAGAGGGGACCAATCCCTGGGAGTGGGCAGGAGGATGAGAGCACTGAGACTGGCTGACATGTCCCTGGGGAGGACAGGGCTCTGAGAGGGAACAGGGGGCTTCTGTTTGGAACCTGAAGGGAGATGACAACAAGGAGCCAAAAGACTCGGCAACAGGAAAATCACATTTCTCTGGGATTGAGAAGGGGCAGGAAAATCTTGTTTGCTCTTTGCTTTCCAAGTTGATCTTCACCAAACACTGCATTTTGAAAAATGATAATAATAACTTTGTCAGAAGGACACTCCATATAAGAACACAACTGGGGCATTAAACATTGTGCTTAACCACCTACCTCAGAAACTAGCAAAAACCACCAGGACTCATCAGGGCCCTGGGAACACTCATCAGTTCATCCACAGGTATCTTCAGCCTGTTCCAGGCACTGTGATACATAAATGATCACTCAAGCCCCTGCCTTCATGGAGCTCATGCTGTAGTGGGGAGGAAAACACACAAGCAAAGAGATCTAGAAGGTGAGATTAGGTGCTGACAAGAGCTGTGGAGGGAACAGAGCAAGGAAAGGTCAGAAAGTGAAGACCCAGGGGCTCTAGAGGAGGAGGTCAGGGAAGATGTCTCCAAAGAATGTGCTAATGTGAGGAGTTATCGAAGGGCAGTTCAGGGGAGTCCTGCAGACAATGGGGAAGAGCATTCCAAATAGAGGGAATGGCAAGTTCAGAGGCACTAGAGCAATAGTGGTCACACTGCTGACCCTGATCAAGTAGGAGACATGCTCCTACACACATATGCTCTCTCACACACACACATGCACACACACACACAAATACTTAAATGTCATGTACACACACATCTCCCAAGGCTGAAGGATAAGGAGAAATACTCAGCACCAAAGGCTCCACCTTTCCAGCCCAATACATAGGTCCAAATATTTACTTATTTCTCCCTCTTCCCTCCTAGTTTCACTTTTAACCTTCTGGATCCCACCCCCAACTGCTCAGCTCACTATTGAATCAGTGCCCTTCAATGCTGCTGAAGGACAGGACGTTCTTCTACTTGTCCACAATATGACAGAGAATCTTCTAGCCTATCACTGGTACAAAGGACAAGGAGTGCTCAACAACCCACTCATTATATCACATATAAATTATACTCAAGTAAATATCTCAGGGCCTGCATACAGCGGTCGAGAGATATTATTCCCCAATGGATCCCTACTGTTCCAGAATGTGACGCTGGAGGATGCAGGATACTACACACTACAAACCATAGATATAAGTTTCATCACTGACCAAGCATTGGGACAGTTCCATGTATACTGTAAGTGATTTCTCTATGGCCTCTGGGTGTTGGAGTGGGGTCGATTCTACTTCACACACACAGAGGACTGTAAGGCCTAGATTGTGCCTACATCCCCCTCTACATTATGTTCACTTAATTCTCATAGGCTTTCTTCACTTTCAAAAAAAAATTTCCCCTCTTTCTGGGCTATTTCAAAGGTCTGTTCTTCAAGTTCAGAAATTCTCTCTTCTGCTTGATCTAGTGTGTTGGTGAAGCTCTCAATTGTATTTTTTATTTTATTCATTGAATTCTGCAGCTTCAAGATTTCTGTTTGGTTCTTTTTCCTGATTTCATCTCTTTGTTAAATTTCTCATTCAGATCCTGAATTGTTTTCCTGATTTCATTGAACTGTTTGTCTGTATTCCCTTGTATCACATTGAGTCTCATTGAAATCATTATTTGAAATTCCTTTACTGGCATTTTGTAACTGCCCTCTTCTTTGGCATCTGTTGCTGGAGCCTTACTCTGTTGCTTTGGGATCATCACATTGCCTTGTTTTTTCATATTTCTGTGTCCAAACATTGATATCATCATGCATAACTGAGTAATTGCTTTTCCACTTTTATGGAGTGGATTACATGGAAATGATTTTTTCCCTATGGTGAGTCCTAAGGTGTCTGTTGAACATGTGGCATTGACTTTGTTCTGCATGGACTCAGTAGCATAGTTTCTATGTCATTTCTTTAGTTGCAATCTCCTTACGTGATGTCTGCAAGAATGTGTGCAAACACTTGTACTGTTTTACTGGATTGGAGCTTCCTGGCTAGTTGTTGGGCCAGGCATGTAGCAAGGCCTAGCAACTTCATTATGTTCTACCAGAGAGAGGCAAGGCCACTGCCTGGTTCATTGTCAGACAAGCAGTAGGCATACGCCAGAGCAGCAGGGCCCAGCAGCCCTGTGGAGGGCTGCTGGATCAGCTACTAAGCCTGGACCAAGCCTGCAAGGGTGCAGGCAGGCCTGGCACCTCTTCAGAGGCCTACTGTAATAAGGAAAAGTTGTTGCCCTCTCTGCTGTCATTCAGGGAGCAGGTGACCACTGGTGCTGCAGGGTCTCACAACTCTGTAGAGGGCCGTTGGATCAGGCATTGGGCCTGGAACAAGCCTACAAAGGCACAGCCAGGTTAAGAAGCTCTGTAGAGGCCTTTCATGGAGGGTCACAGCCACTGCCTGCTCTGCTGTCATTCAGGAAACAGCAGAGTCTGATGGCCCTCTAGAGGCTTGCTATGAGAAGGCAGGCCACTGCCTGATCAGTGTTGGTCAGGAAGCAGGTGTACACTGGTGAAGCAGGCTCTGGCAGCTCTGTAGAGGGTCAGGGGGAAAGGCAGGGCTACTGGCAGGCTGGTTGATGGCTGATGCGGGCACCTGTGGGCTTACCAGGCCCATGGGTTGTGCAGGGCAGGTGTGTGCGAATGTGGTGGACCACCACTTACTGGCAGTTTCCCTCTGAGCAGGTAGGTCTGCTTGTTCACCTGGGTGGGTAGGGGCAGGGGATGCCATGTGGGTTCAAATGCTGGGGTATCAGTCTTTCTGTCTAACCTTGGCACCAGGCACCTGGAGTCGTGGTCCTGCAGACACCCCTGTGAATGTGGTGGAATGAAGGTTGGCTGGCCCTGAGGATAGAGGAAGACTGTTTCCACCAGCTGCCCAGGCAGGCTACACTCTAGCCAAGTGTTTAGCTTCAAGATGACACTGTAACATAACTGCTTAGGCTGGAGGTGGGGTTGCTCCCCCGGGCTTCTACTATGAGGTGGTGAAGCTGCACAAACTCCCAGTTACTCTTCAAGTGGCTTTGGGACCTGTGAAGACTGGGGAACCCTCCTCTGGCAGGGATTAGTGACAATTGTGGTAGCAGTGTAAACAGATGGGGTTTTTCCAGCTCGCCTTTTCTCTGTCTGACCCCAAGCCAGTCCCTGTAGTTCTGCTCTCTATGGTGCTTTCTTCTGTGTTCCATAAAGATTTCTCCACTCCCGTCGTGCTCTGCAGCATATTTCTTCAGTCATTCAAGTCCAAATACAGTTGTTTGTTGTTTTGGTCTCTTTTGTGGGGAGGGGGACAAGCGCCAGACTACTCTACTTGGCCATCTTGCTCCACCCTCTTCATGCTCCCTTTATATAAGAGACACCTCAGCCTTCCCCTCTGACCAGTTCTGTCCTCTTAACAGCACTCACAGGTCTCTCTCTACCAAGGGAGTCGCTGATTTCAAGCTGACTTTAGCACCTTCCTTTGATCATACTGTGCTCCTGCTGGATGTCAGAGCTGTGCCTAAGACCTTACCCTGCTCTGCAGAGATAAACTCCTCTCAGAAATTGGTTCTAGATCCTGGGTGCTAATAACAATGTTCACGTATGGCAGAAATTTAACTTTTCCAACTTTTATTTCACATCCACCAAACACACACGGTCCATACAGGTGCAGTGGGAGAAGAGACATCAAAGAGCAAGGATAGAGAACATGGCTTTGCTGCCAAAGCCAACAGCTACTGCCTGTTCCCCTCATTCTTTTCTAGCTCATTCCTTGGATTATGCTCCACTATTATTAGTTCACAGGACCAAGTCAGTCACCATCAAACACCTGAGCAGAACTTTCCCACCTTGTGTCACCTTGTGGCTCTGTGCCCTGACCTCTGAACTCACTCCACACTTGCTCCTGGTCTCTGTTTGTCATTTCTGCTCACACACGCAGTTCCCATCATGACCCATCCTAGACATCCTGTAAAAGGGAAGTCTCCGAGAAAACTGTCGTAGGTGGAGCAATGTAAGACTGTACAGCTGGAAGAGACTCAGAACCCACATGTCCCCAGGTTTGTCAGCGAGTCAGCTGGTGAGTGAGGAACTAGGAGAGACGCCAGGGGGTCTGTAACTTCCGATCTTATGTTTGTCCATAATGAAGTGCTGCTGCTCAGTTCACATGTGAGAAAGCATGCTTCTCATAGACACACAGCAGGTGGCCTCACATTCACTGAGCCCCCAAATTCTCATACATCTATCTTGTGACACATACACCTGACTGGTTCTTTTAAGAACTCAGGTTGGCTGAAAGATGAAAGATGCCAACTGTGATTGAAAAA